AATTCATCAGACTTCGCACTTCAGACTTCAACAAAATCGAAGGAAGTCAATAGTCTGTAAACTGGTGAAATTCCGGACTTGCTAAAAGTCTCTATTACTACGTACTGTGTTTCACAAAATTCGTCCCATATTTTGATTGGTGGCATTCTTCAAATAGGATCCCGTTTGGGTGTCTGATTGGCGCATAGGAACGCGCAAGATCTCTGCTATGATTGGGTAGTTTGCAGAACTTTCCAGCCATTTTGGTTGTTGAGATATCGCGCGGCAAAACTGGTGGGGCATTCATCTCTGTTAGAAAAATCTACACCAGCACTTCATTAGAAAGGTTTCGGTAGAATCTTTCCGTTTCCTGTTCCGCCTCCCACCGCATGTTTTGAAATACCTCCAGAAGAGCTCAAAAGAACTCGTCAAACTTGATTAAAATTTCTTTTCCGGGGACACCGATCAGAATACAATCTTTTCCCTTTCCGACGGCAAATGTCCACGCCATCTAAACGCAGCCAGTTCATGGAGAGAGAAGACGTCCTCCTTTTGACCCAGGTCATGGTCGACATGCCTTACCTTGCTCGGCGTGGTCCCAATCATGTCGGATTGGGACTCTGTTGCCCGAAACCTCATCAGCACTGGTGAATTTGACCGTCCCAAGTTCGACGGCAAGAAGGCGCAAGTAAGATTTGCGAAGGACTTCGACGACGAAAGTGCATCGACGGAAGGTGGAAGATTGCGAAAGGTACCTGCGTTGATGAACGAAGGTGGCAAAAACGAGCTCGATCTACGCAAGTTTATGTTTGAAAAAGAAATGGAAGAACGCAAAAAGGAGCGCGAATTTCAAGCTGAAGAGCGAAACAAGGACCGCGAGATTCAGGCACAACAAATTCAAATGCTGCAGACAACAATGACAACTCTTCTTAGCGCTTTGGTGAAGAAGTTGTAAAAAGATATACATTTCAAAATCGAATTGATTTTACACTGTAGCTACCTCCACATTATGAAGGTATTCTTCGAGACTTGGTGGCATCAAATCAAAGTAAAGTTTGTTTGTACCCTCGGCGACACGGAATAAGACCCTCCGGATTTCTCAAATAAATAGGCTAATTTCAACCAATAAAAAGTAGATATTCCTTTGATTGGCTAAAATAAATTCAAAAATTCAAATTCAGTACCTGTATAAGTGAATACATCTTGCATGTCAACCAACGAGGTCAAGCGCCGCCTCAGGCCGCCGCTACAAGTCAAGATCGACATTGTCAGCTCGGTGGATGGCAAGAGTGTGCAAGAGGCAAGCAAAATCTCGGGCTACTCTGAGGACACGATCAAAACTTGGAAGAAGAATGTCGACAAGCTCAAGAACTATCAAGGACCCAAGACAACGCGCAAAAGCTTACCCGGTGCCGGCGGCCAAACGAAGCTTCCGGACCCACATGGACTGACGATCTTCTGCCGGGACCTCCGACGTGAAGAACGGCCCATCACAATGGCACACCTGGTGAACTACCTCCGCT